CTTGCATTGTCAAGATCAGCTTCTCTTGACATGGTGATATTAGTCAGATTTTGTTGGATACTGAAGATATTACGACACCTGCAGAAGAAGAAAATGATAGAATTAGTCTAAGAGCTAGTAATGAGAACATCAATTCTTAAAGACCTGTCTTGGTGCTACATTGCAGTTTATGATTCGGCAGTATTGAATCAAGATGGATAGGGCTGAGTATCAGAGATTGTCATCACCATTAAAACTAACATTCCATTCATTGTGTATTTCACATTCATCTGATTGTTTAACACATTTCACCACTTTTTTGCGAAAATGTGTCTGCACTTTTTTTCTTATATTCTTCAATATTTCTGGAAACAAACCCTAATTTTGGCGCCAACAGGCAAAATTGGAGTAAATTTTCAGTTTTTACTCAAAATATTTGGCTAATCTTCTGGAGGAAAGTGAAGGTCTATTTTTAAATTTGTGATGAAAAGAGGGAACTGGTGGAGAAAAGGTTAACTTACAATGTATGCATGTTCAAGTTTGAATAATAACTATATACCTAAGATATGGTAAAAAAATCAGATAGAAAGTCATAACATGACAAAATTGTGGCCCATTTTCAGTGTAAGTTCATGTGTGATAATCAAGGTATGTCAGTGATTGTCTATTTGTTGAAAAAAAAATGGCAACCAGTTGGCTATTTTGAATCAAATCTAAAAACAAAATGATATGCATCATTATGTTCAATGTGATCATCTTGATTTGCACCATAGAACAACTGCATGTTGAAACGTGTGATATGATGTATGATGTGAATTTTAAACATGATCGATCAAGTCATGTCATATGACCTCGAAACAGTATTCATTAAAACAAGTGATTAACATGACATAGTCCCAGTCATGCAATAATGAACAAAACTGAAATTAGTCAGCCATTTTGAATTACAAAAGTTTGATCTGAACTGGGTCCGATTGGTAGGAATAATTGATTTTGATTTTTGAATCATACAATAAATGCAAAGGTATTCCAATATGTAAGATGTATGTGTAAAGTATGATCATGTTTGGTCCAGACATGTCTGAGATATGAACCAAGGTGAAATTATATGTTCCAACTTTTGAACTTTTTAGAAACAGAAACTATTAACTGATAGTTATTGTATACTTAAAGTATGTCAATTAGGGAATAAAAGTCAATGACCTCAAGGCTGCCCATTAGCACTAGAAATTATTGAATGATAACAGGGAAAATGGGGATATGTACAATAATGGGTGAGGCACATTCAAGCTCATTAAAACGGGCAGTGAACATCCTGATTCAAGTCAAGTCAAGTTATCATGCAATATTTTGTAAATAATAAATTGTATGATAACAATTTATGTGGAGTAGGATGCTTAGAAAAAAAAAAGTCACTTGTTTTGTTAGCTACAAGTAGCACTTGAGATAGAAGATTCACAACAATATGCAAATTTTCAGTTGAATATTCTTGAAGTGAAAGAATAATGATGGGATTGCTGTTTATAAAAACTGTCCAAAAGTGGAAAAATATTGGATATTTCTGATTCATAGTAAATATTTATTTCTATTTGTGCATTACCCTTTAGCAGTGCTTGATTATTGCCCAATAACTAACTGGTCTGTACATTGTACCAATTTATCAATTACAACCCACTATTTCAATAATTTGCATCTCACCATATTTTATTACGGGAATTAATGCCTACTTCTAGTAAAAGTGGCAAAAAAGCAGCAGCAGTGTTAAGGTCTATCTAATTTCAACATTTGTAGTCACTAAATAATACTTACATCTTCTTGATTCCATTTTCATTCATTCTTTTAAT